GGCTAGTAGTGATTCATAGTATTAGCTGAATTTTTGATTTTAAACGAGAGTAATTAGTGACAACTGATAGAATACAACTGCAACAGGCTAATCATTTCATTGGCAGAAAACATTTACATTTTGTGGAGGCCGTCGTCACTTGTGGTGTATGGTCTGCACCCGACACTCTTCTCGTTTTTTGAAGGGAGGGTACATTGCGTTTCATATATAAGGTCACCCTTGAATTCTGTTTGCACTAACTCATTGCTCATCTGAAAAACCTCTTTGTTGCGATTGACTATAGCAGTCTTCTTCTCGCTTTTTTGTAATGATTTTTTGCTTTGGCAGGTTTTCATATACAGTGGCTCCCGGAGAAATTGTTTATTGTCTGCCCGTCCAATAAGGAACCGAATGGGGCGCTAAAATAATATTCGCAGTCGTGACGCACTCACCAATAATTCTTATTTGAAAACTGTTCAAAATTGGATGTTCATATAAATGACTAAGCTAGCTATTTTCAGGCCATTATGCTTCGCCGATGCTTCGACGAACAGATGACTCGGCGAGGAAACATCAGTCATCTTCAAGAACGCAGAAGATGCTTTCGGAAGAGGCGCTGTCGAGGAAAGAAGAGCGAGAACGTGCTCTACAACGCATCATTGAGGAGGCAAATGAGCTCAAGAGAAAGGAGTACGAACTGCGTGAGGCCAGTGGCACGGTGACATCGGTGTCGAAACGATCGGCAGTTCACCCGTCCACTCTGGCACGCTCTGAATCCCCATTGTCTCCGATGTCCATCAGAAGCGAGGCTGCAGTCACTCGACCGAGCGCTCAGAAAGCTCCTCACCAACGAACGTCATCCGATGGGAACAATAATTCGATTCGAAATGGTTCGAATGTATCATCTAACGTTTTAGCCACTGTGAGACGTAATACGCCAATGGTTTCTCCCACACGGCCCATTGTCCAGCACAGAAATCTCTACATTCCACCCAAGACGGCGACGTATCCCAACGAGATGATGTACGTGACATGGAGTGGCTCCAGTGCGTCCCATGTCCCTCACACTCGTCACTTGGACGTTCTACATCAGAAACCAGAGAAGCCAAAGACGTCTCGACCGTCCATTTCCTCTATAACCAAGAGCACCTTCTCCTTGGCCAGCTACGATCCTGAGCGAGAATCTCCATCAAGGGGACGAGCAGACAACGCGCCATCTTTGTCGCGTCATCCACAACTATCTGGCTCAGTCAGTTCTCTCCTGACAAAACTGCCAGCAGCTTTTCAACCGACTCCACCTGAATCTCTCGGAACTCCTTCACCACCGTTGACTCCAAACGCTAGCTCTAACATCCGCAAAGTGAAGGAAGCGGTCCGACAGCAGTCTCTTGGTCAGAAAGCTGCTAGCAAAATGTTGCACAAGTCGCAGATAGAAAATTCTAAATCTATCGCTACTCAAGGTTCAACGAACTCACAGAACTCTCCCAACGCTAATGTTAGGGGGAACGGAACCCCAGCGTTGTCCAGATTAAGCTCAGAAAATGGTGAAATAACTAATAATATTTCAAAAATGCTCAAACAGGGACTTCCTGCGCTCAAAAAAGTCGGAGCACCCGTGGAGAAAGGCGGAATCGCACTCGGAAAAGTGCTCAGCACAAGCACAGAAAACAATAAGGTGAGTTCTTTCGATTTTTACTAATGTTATGTCTCCCGCATCTGAGGAGCTAGTTGTTCGAGTTGTTCGTGTCAACAAAAACGCAACGCGATCGTGCGCGTCTCATACCTGTAGTATGGAGAGTTCAGAGTTGGCGATTGTACGTGCGATTAGGCGATCAGGCGATTAGGCGGGAAGACTACATACGTATTGATTGGTTTGCTCCGCCCATAGAGCGTTGTAGGCGAGTAGGCGATTAGGCGATTAGGCGATCGCTCAATGGGCGGAGCAACAAATCAATACGTATCCTTCCTTATCGCCTACTCGCCTACTCGCCTAATCGCCTACTCGCCTAATCGCCGATCAGATAGCATACATTATACGAAATTCACTTGGCTAGGTACCGCGGACCCTAATGTCGCGACAGCTGAAGCAGGCCATCTTGCACAGGAGGAGTTGACCTCGTTGACCTATTAAGGTTTAATCCCGCCGCGGCTGGTCAGTGCACGCCCACCGATCATCTGATCACTCGCCGCAGGTCTATACGTGGTGAGTGATTAGATAGGTGAGAGAGCGTAGCGTTGAAGAGGGCACAGCGATGATAGTCGCATCAATGCTCAAATCAACGGGCAAGGAAGTGGTCCCATTTCTCAGGTTCTGGGCCGTTTCGCATGGTTTTTCCTTCTTTGTACCACTCACCATCGCTAACTTAATTTGAAATGGGTTGCCTTTCCAGCGTGAATTCGTCCTTTAATCGATACCTATGCCTTTCTATTTGAATCATCGCACGATCGCTTCATAGCCTAATTACCCAATAGCGCGTATGATCGTCAACTATGAACGCTCCAGTAGTGTTGCAATCTACTTTTGACCGATGGAATGAGCTGTGATTACTTAAGGAGCCTACTCGAACAACCAACAATCAGCCGACAACAGTTTTCGCTCAACTTCCTCCACTTGCTCCGCCACCGCCACCTCCACCTCCTCCTCCCACTCTGCTTGCCTCCTCAACATCTTTTGCCACTATTCCAAGGTAACTTTCTCTTATTTTATTCAGGTCTGTTGTGGGTGAACTCGGCTTTTGATGAATTCGGAAGAGCTGGAAACGAAGAAAGAAGATCAATGTGACGCGTTGTTTCCCCTTCTACACCCTATTCAACAGCATTCGGCCAGACCACATTTTGCTTACCACTTCGTTAATTACCTCTGGGACTTATAAATTACGTTTCCAGAGCTCCACCACCGCCTCCCTCGCTTCCTCACGCCACTTCTTTGATTTCGATGCGAGACTTAGAAAGTCAGAAGACTAAGCTAAAACCGGCAGGAACAGTAAGTCGCCAGAATATTTATCTTAATTTCCGCTCCTTTTTTTCATACAAGTGAGTTGTAGGTGGAGAAACCCGTCGCGCCAATGGACGTTCGAGACAGTCTGATGGCTGAAATCAGGAACGCAGGCGGATTGCGAGCTCTTCGTAAAACATCCCAAAATTGAGCCATAACCACTTCTTTTCCTACTTCAAATCCCAGATATGAAATATAAATGTATTTGCTTTTTTGAATACGAATAGGACGAATCACCGATCAGAGAGAACATCGAATTAAACGAAATTCACTTGGCTAGGTACCGCGGACCCTAATGTCGCGACAGCTGAAGCAGGCCATCTTGCACAGGAGGAGTTGACCTCGTTGACCTATTAAGGTTTAATCCCGCCGCGGCTGGTCAGTGCACGCCCACCGATCATCTGATCACTCGCCGCAGGTCTATACGTGGTGAGTGATTAGATAGGTGAGAGAGCGTAGCGTTGAAGAGGGCACAGCGATGATAGTCGCATCAATGCTCAAATCAACGGGCAAGGAAGTGGTCCCATTTCTCAGGTTCTGGGCCGTTTCGCATGGTTTTTCCTTCTTTGTACCACTCACCATCGCTAACTTAATTTGAAATGGGTTGCCTTTCCAGCGTGAATTCGTCCTTTAAGTGAACCTATGCTTTTTCTATTCGATCATCGCACGATCGTCATACTATTACCCGAAAGCGCGTATGATCGTCAACTAAGAACGCTCCAGTGGTGTTGCAATCTACTTTTGACCGATGGAATGAACTGCGATTATTTAAGGAGCCCAATCGAACAACCAACAATCAGCCGACAATCGTATAACTCACCCTTCCTCCACTCCACTCCCCCCCGCCACCACCACCTCCACCTCCTCCCACTCTGCTTGCCTCCTCAACATCTTTTGCCACTATTCCAAGGTAACTTTCTCTTTTTGCATTCAGATCTGTTGTGGGTGAACTCGTTAGATGCGTAATAACTTCGTATAGCATACATTATACGAAGAAAATTCCCTTGACGCGTTGTTTCCCCTTCTACACCCTATTCAACAGCATTCGGCCAGACCACATTTTGCTTACCACTTCGTTAATTACCTCTGGGACTTATAAATTACGTTTCCAGAGCTCCACCACCGCCTCCCTCGCTTCCTCACGCCACTTCTTTGATTTCGATGCGAGACTTAGAAAGTCAGAAGACTAAGCTAAAACCGGCAGGAACAGTGAGTTGCCAGAGAATCTCTAAAGTTCCAGCTCCTTTTTTCATATATGCTTGAGTTATAGTGGCAAACGCTTGTCGCGCCGATGGACGTTCGAGACAGTCTGATGGCAGAGATCAGGAACGCAGGCGGATTGCGAGCTCTTCGTAAAACATCCCAAAATTGAGCCATAACCACTTTTTTTCCTACTTCAAAAATCCCAGATATGAAATATAAATGTATTTGCTTTTTTGAATACGATTGTAAGTGATAGCACTGTGATAATAAAGTTATCGGAGTTGAAAAACACTCTGTTGCTTCTTCGACTCAACGAAAAATTAGTCTTCCTGATTATTCAAGCTAAACGGACTGAATATTGAAAATGAAAAGATATTTTTGCACTCGACCTAATTCATTAACAAACGGTGGTCTTGCCTTCTCGTGATAGTGGTGTACCGCGTAGAGCCGGTCTTATCCAACTCATAAGGTCAAATTTTGGTTTACACCTAGGTTACACAGCTTCATCCTGCTGCTTCATAAGGCTCCTAAATATCTGGTGCAGCTATGAAGAGTCATAGCAGCTCTATTGCCACAGCACGGCAGCAGCAATGAAAACTCAACAGTTCTATAAGAGCTTATCATATTGTACTTCTACAACCGGCGTTGCAAAAGATGCATAAGAACTACGTTGGTTTGAAATCCGATGAGCCGAACCCCATGACTTCAAGTTGTATCGTCTACACTGAGCGACCAAAACAACCCCAAATTGAATTGGTGGGGTAACAGCGGTCAATAATGAAATTAAGGATGCCAAACTGGCTAGAAAAAAAAAAACAAGAACAGCCAATGAAGCCATTGACAAGAATTCTCTCTTCCTCCATGAAATAGGGGAGAGCGGTCGGATGAGTTTATTGAACTTACTGCTCCATTTACCCGCGCATATCCGAATTAATGGGACGCCGTGGTACACGTTGCATATCTGCGCGCGAGGTATCTCGCCCGAAAGTTAATGATAGCCGCCAACAAAGATCTATGGAAGGAGCTAACGCCATTGTCGAGCACATTCGAGCCGCAACAGTGGCACATTTGTGATACTGTGGGCCACTGTTCATGTATCCCTTTCCCGAAACGAGTATGTTGTACTTGTAGAAGTACAATATGGTATTATAAATAGTGGAAACAGATGGCATCGGAACTAAACCAAAATGTACTCATCGCTGGAGTTATCCTCACGGTGCCACTGAATCTGCATTATGGCATGCGCACCCACTGCAAAAGCGTACCCTCCCCTTCAAAAAGCGAGAAAGTGTCGGGTGCAGACCAAACACCACAACTGACGACGGCCTCCAAGTAAATCTGGTTAGAAGTTGTTCATAGTGATAGCTGATTTCTGGTAAATGATAGTTGTAATTAGTGACAATCGATAGAATACAACTGCAACAGGCTAATCATTTCATTGCAGAAAACATTAACATTTTGTGAAGGCCGTCGTCACTTGTGGTGCATGGTCTGCACCCGACATTTTCTCGCTTTTTGAAGGGAGGGTATGTA